AAAAAAAAAAAAATAAAGTGGAGGCCCAGGCAGTGGTGGCCACAAACACACACACACACACACACACACACACACACACACACACACAGGCCTGTCCAATGTCAGAATGTTCGCACAGGAAGAACACTCGAGGTTATTACATCTCTCATCAACCATGATCCTAACAGGAAAGGTTTAGAAACAACCAAGAACTAGAGCCTAATGCATCTGGAGAAACAAATGTGCTACTTGAGTGTGGAGACACTATGGACCATATGAGGGTTTATGTAGATTAAGTTACCTTGGGGTTGGGGAGGGGGACCTAAATGTGGTTGGTACCATTCCATGGGCTTGAGTCCTGGACTGCATAAAAAGGAGAAAGCTGTCTGGAGGGGGGATAGCTGGAGATGAGGAGACTAAAGATGGAGAGGGGGAGACTATGTGGAGAGGGGGAGGCCATCTAGAGAAGGGTGGCTATCTGGAGAAGAGGCTGTTTGGAGCATTTACACCTCTCTGCTTCCTGACTGTGGATGCAATGGAAGCAGATGCCTCAGGCTCCTGTCCCATGGTTTGCCCACCGTAAGGAACCATTCCCTCACATCATTCACCATTATAGACCCTCCTTTGGGGGATGAGAGTAGAGAAATGATTTCCCTGTGTAGCCTTGGCTATCCTGAACTCGCTTTGTAGACCAGGCTGGCCTCGAACTCACAGGGATCCACTTGCCTCCACCTCCGCCTCCTTGAGTGCTGGGATCAAAGGTGTGCACCACCACACCCAGCTCCCTCCTTTCTTAAGATGCTTTTGTGGGTGATTTTTCAGAAGAGCAGGAAACGCATAGCTAACACGCCTCCTCATGGGGGAAGGGGCATGAGAGCCTCTGTTTTTCCATCTTGCTTCCTTGGCTCTGAAAATCAGTCGGGGGTTAGGGGGGCAACACAAGGTCAAGGTGTGGTCCACAGCCACAGGGGGCTTGAGAGGACCTTGGTCTTCACAGTTTCTCCTGACCTGAACTTTCAGTCAACTGTGGGCCCTCAGCAAGGCGTGCGGTGATGCACCACACACAAAAGCATGCATACACTGGCTTGGTAGTGTTTGAGACCCCACTGGGATACAAAGTGAGACACTAGTGTACTCCTTTAGTGATCCTTTTAAAGGAAGCTAGGTCGGCCTTGGGTCCTAGAGGAATTACCAAGAGGGTAAACATCCTGGTCAAGGTCTCGCTTATAGGTCAGTCCTTGGAAGCCTCAATTCAGAGTCTGAGCTTTTAAACATTGTGAACTGAACACTTCCCAGGCCTAAGGAAGCCTCAATCCCTCCAAGGTCTGTCATAAGGGTAACGGGCTAAGTGAGAGTTGTGGTTTGAGAGTCATATATCGAGGCTTCCAAACCTCGGGCAGCATCTAGTCATGACATCATGCTCTGCAGCACGTCCTGCCCACTTCTCCGTGGAAGGAACTGGCCTAGAGCCATGCACTGAGCACAAAGCCTAAAAAACGCTCCCCAATGATAAGCTGCCGCACACTGCTTAGAGACAGGGAGGAAAGTCCCAGACCCCCAACCCTGATTTAAGAACAAACAACAACGACGGCAACCAAATTCCAGCCCATCATGTGAGCTGCTCCTGTTAGTGAAGGGAAAGAGAAGGCAGCCCTTTCCTCCACAGCGCTAGGTTAAAAAGAGAGAAACATGCATGAATCTACTCTGCTCCAGAAAGCGTTCAGGACATAGAACATCAGTGAATATAGGTTCATGGGAGAAGAAGTCCCAACTTACAGGATCTCCATCCTCTCCTCTGTGTCCTCTGCTGCCTTTCAGACCCGAAAAACCCTAGGAGGAGAGAGAGAAGGACACTTCACCCTTCAGTCAGCTCAAACTCACCAAGTCAGTAGGCATTCCCGGCCAGGCCCTCCCTTGAGTGGTGGGTAGACTTGGTGCCAATAAAGCCGTGAGTTGCAGAGACCCTGAGATCTGCAGCTGGCTTCTTCCTTGGCCTCATCTCTGAGGCCCCCTTGCAGAAGGTGACACAAAAGACTGATCCTGGAAACCCGCCCATAAATGAGGAGCCACTCTTGCATCTGTGACTGCCATTTTTAAATACGTATTGTTATTATTTTGGTTATGTGTGCGTACTGGCTGCCTTCATGTCAACCTGACAAGGAAGATCAGAGAGAAGGGTGCTTCGGTTGAGAAAATGCCTGCATAAAATTGGGCTTTAGGCAAATCCGGAGGGTGTTTTCTTAATCAGTGATTCGTGGGGAGGAGCCAACCATTGTAGGGGTGCCACCCTGGGCTACGGGTCCTGGGTTCCATAAGAAAGCAGGCTGAGCAAGCCAGTAAGCAGCACCTCTCCATGGCCTCTGCATCAGCTCCTGCCTCCAGGTCTCTGCCCTGTCTGAGTTTATGTCCTGACTTCTTTCTGTGGTAAACAGTAATATGAAAGTGTAAGCCAAACAAACCCTTTTCTCCTCAGGTTGCTTTTCATCATGGTGTTTCACCACACAAGGTACATGTGGAGGCCAGAGGAGGGCCCTTGGAGCTGGAGTTACAGGTTGTTATTAGCATCCTGATGTGGGTTCTGGGAGCTAAGCTCAGATACTCTGGCAAGCTCCTGAGCCATCTCTCCAGCTCCATCACTGACAAAGCAGGAATGCCCACAAAGGGCCCATTTGACTTTCTTCTGCTTTGATACGAGCAACGTTTAAACTAAATTACTCTCTCCTGAGCCATAGTTTAGCTGCTTTGTGACTTTACTTGTAACAGAGATTGGCTGAGATTTCCCCACCCTCTAATACAGACCCTTGCTGAGCCCCTGGAGCATGGGTCTACTGACATGCAAGAGGAGCGTTCGATAAATGGAGTCTCACAATTCAGCAAAACATGCTGTGTAAATTATCCCTCGACGTGGATAGGCAAAGCAGAAAGCATCCGAGAGGGTGACGATCGATCTGTTTTGGACCGAGGAGGAGTCTCAGTATACAGACGCTTTCTGCCAAGCAAGCCTCCAGAACTAACAAAGCAGAAGGAGAGAGCTGATTCCTGCCAGTTGTCCTCTGGCCTCCACAGGTGCATCGTGGCATGGTCATGCACCCCCCCCCCCAAATAAATAATTTAAGTCTTTTTGAAATATTGAGGAAGGAAAATACAAGCTAAAATTGTTAAGATGAAAATCAATACATTTATGTATTTATCTATCACAAAAAGTCCTTCTACCATGATACCTAAAACCCATTTGAAAATGCATATACAGTGAAAGCAAGGTAAATGCAGTTTGTTAAGTGCATTTTATGTGTAAGTTTTGTGCAATGATTTTATATGACATCTGTGCAGTCATCAGCCAGCGAGCCCACTACTCTGGCCCTCCTCAGGAGTGCGCTGGTAACACTTAGGATAATACTTCCAGGGCTTTAAAGCTATTTCCCTGCTTAAGTATGCATTCTCAGACAGCACAGCTTCCTTTTAATAAATGGAACCCTATCTATGTGTTCTCCTGCTTTATCTTTTCCGCTTCCTCTGGTCATTAGAATGTGGGTAAAAATTCATTCTTTTTTTTTTTCTTTTTTTTTTTTTTAATAAATGAATGTAGTCCATTTGTTTGCATTGGCACAGTCTTTCATTGAAAATACCATGATGCATTTTCTATGCCATTGCTATGTAATTGGTCTTCTATAATTTGTCCTTTTATTTTGCAACTCAACCTCATTTACTGTTGAAAAACCACAACTCTCTCTTAACACCTTTCAGACCATCTAAAGTAGATTTAGAAAGCATTAATTGCAAACCCTAAAAGCATCCTCGCTGCAGATAAGAAGGAGAAAGGGGAGTTGTTCTCGGTGGCCGTGTCAGGAGTGAGCCCCTCTGAACACACTCCTACACTGTGGAAGTAATTGCCCAAGGCGATTACATTATCGGAGCCAAGGCTATAAATACATCTATTCCATTTCAGCTCCACTCACGACAAAGCAAGGAATGTGAGAGAAAAAAGGATCACAACCAAATGGCACCTTTGAGGCTTGGAGTCCCCGGGTTCCATGAGGTCCGGGAGTCCCCGGACATTTACAAAACGTACAGCAACAAGCCCTCTCTGCGACGTTTCCCTAGAGAAAGACATACAAAAAAAATTAAAAAGGAAGTGGGCTGGGCAACAGTGATCGGAGGCTTTCTTACATGACAATCGTATTCAGACACATCGTGAGACACCTACAAGCCAGCCTCTGCCTTTGCGGGAAGGGTGAAAGCAATCTTATGACTTGAACTGCAGAGAGAGGGCACCAGGCCAACAAATTGGGCAGCATCCGCTCTCAAGGAGACAACCTCAATTAATGGAAAGGGCACCGAGCACATACATGGCCACGGGCCAAGCTGACTTGAGACATATTGGTTCCTGGCTGACCATCTCCTGGAATTTCTGTTGTGTAAATTATCGGGAGCTTTTTAAAGACATTAGGGGCTGGTTGATCTGTTAGTACCCTAGGCATTCATTCAGTGATGAGACAATGAGAGGAAAGGTAGGGAAAAAAAACCCCAAAATATAATGTTTTGAGTGCAATTCAAAGCCTTATGCTGCGGTGGGTTCAGGTGTTTGAGGCAGGCAGATCACCCTGAGTTGAGGCCAGCCTGGTCTACGTAGAGCATTCCAGGCCAGTCAGGGATACACAGTGAGACTCAGTCGATAGATAGGTAGATAGATAGATAGATAGATAGATAGATAGATAGATAGATAGGTAAGTAGGTAGATAGATAGATAGATCCCTTAATGCTATATTACCTCATACGTAGTAGGATGGCTACTATCCAAGAAAGGATGGAGTGAGGGAGTGGGGGAAGGGAAATGAAAGGAAGGAGAGAGGAAAGTAGGGGAGGAGGAAAGAAAGTAGGGAGGAAGGGAGAAAGCAGAACACATCTCGTGTCCAGGAAGATGTGGGGGGACAGAGCTTGTAAGGTATGGAAAACAGCAGGCGTGTTCCTCCAAGCACCGGAATCCATCATCCCATTTTGTGGGAGCATACGCAGAAGAACTGAACAGGGAATCTTGAGGAAACGTTTGCCCGTGTGTGTTTCATCACAGTGTTATTCATGTTAACTAAGAGGCAGAAGCAACCCCAAAGTGTCAGTTGACAGGTGAAGATAAAGACAGCCCAGCGAAGAGGAGAATACTGTCACGTGTGACCATGCAGACGAGCCTTGAAGACGCTACACTAAGCCAGTCACTAGCACACAAACACAATATGATGCCTTTATAAAGAATCTTAAGTAGAGGAATTTTTAGAAACAGAAAGCGAGTGGGGTTGCCAGGCTCTGGAGAGGCAGAGCCAGAAAGAGGTCATATTGCTAACTAGGGGTTTACAGGGTTCCAGTCTTATAAAATGAAAACTTATCATACAGACCTATCATACAGCAATGTGCACATTAGCTACTGCGGTTGTCAACCTTGATTGTCAACTTGCTAAGATTTATAATCACCATGGAAACAAACCTCTGGACCCGTCTGGGGGGGGGGGGCGGTTTCTAGACTAGGTTAACTTAGGTGGAAAGACCCGCACTAGGCATGGGCTGTTCCAGCACCACTCCACAGGCTGGAGAAGGATTAAAAGGAAGACCCCAATTACGGCCACCCCTATCCCCTAACCGGAGAAACAGTGCGGCCAGCTGCCTCAGGCTCCGGCTGCCTGCCTCTCCCGTGTGATGGGCTGTGTCCTCCAACTGTGAGACCCAACAAACCCTCCCTGTCTTAAGCTGGTTTTGCCAGTTATTTAGTTGTAATGACCAGATAAAAAACAAATACAACTATATACTGTAAACTTCAAATTGGTGAGATGATAAATAGTACATATTCACTTTTACCACAATAACAAAACCCACATGCAGTTTTGTTGTTTTTTTTTTTTAACAAATAACAAAGACATGTCAATTACAATGCTTGAGAACACAGGTGAACATATGATGTTAGGTCTTTTTCATGTTCTAACAACCTAAATACCATTCATGTAACTTAATGACACAAACAGCGGCAGTCTTTGGAAACAGTGGATTCCATCTTGGTTCTCGTGGACCTTAAGATAACCCAACATGGTGCTTGATATGGCAACTCACCAGATACTGGGAAAGCTTCTTGCCCAGGTCCATCATTCCAATGGTCAGGTGAGTCCTGTAGTCGAATCCTTGTCCAAATCCAAAGCTGGAAAACTCATCGGGAGCCAATGTGTCAAGGGACACCACCAAGAGAGCATCAAGTCCTATTTTTAAAAAATAGTACCTGTGAAACCCAAGGGCTCTTTCACGGAAAGGAACTTCCACCTGGCAAATGACATTTAAAGAACCAGAAGATGGAAAAGGCAAACATCAGAGGAAGAAGGATTCTCAACACACGAGCACCCAGAAGCAGACGCAGCTGCATTTCTGAAAACATACTAGACTCAAGTCTCTGACTTCAGCATGAAAAAAAGATCCAAGAGAAACTATTGACAAACCAACTGAAAAACACCAGCAGAAAGTGGTGCGCAGTATCTCACACCAATTCTGATGCAACTCTTGGGCATTCAAATGTGATATTTAAGAAGCTCATTGTTACAAATAAAGCTCCTAGGAACCAAAAAATCTGCGCACAGGGGTCTTTTCTGAGACTGATGCTCCAAATAAGGATGATTAATGGAGATAACCTAGAACCCCTGCACAGATGTAGCCCATGGCGCTCAATGTCCAAGTGGGTTCCTTAGTAATAGAAGCAGGGACTGTCTCTGACATGAACCCAGTCTCTAGCTCTTTGATCACCTCCCCCTGAGGGGGGGGGAAGCAGCATTACCAGGCCACAGAGGGAGATAATGCAGCTAGTCCTGAGAAGACCTAATAGGCTAGGATCAGAGGGAAGGGGAGAAGGACCTCCCCTATCAGTGGACTGGGGGAGGGCCATGGGAGGAGAAGGAGGAGGGAGGATGGGGTTGGGAGGGGTTGAGGGAGGGGGCCACAGCTGGGATACAAAGTGAATAAGCTATAATTAATAAAAAATATTTTTTTTTTTAAAAAAGCAGCTCATTGTTAATTTTGGGGATGGGGTTCTGAATTTTATGGACTTCGTATCAACGACAGTTTTTTCCTAGAGCCGCAGATTCAGGTGACTCCTATCTCAGGCGAGTGTATGATTGAGTATATGATTTCACCCACTCATTCACTGATTCCTCCACTAGCTGTTGGCTCACCCATCTTGTCAGTAAGCAGCATGTGTTTCTTAGGAACTTGCCCAGTACTGATTGTCATAGAGTGGGTTAGGCTCATATTTCTTCCTGTGTCAGAGTTCATGGTCTAATGGATGAAATGGACATAATTAAAAAAAAAAAATCTGAGTTCTCCAGGAGAGGCCATCAGAGAGCAATGAAAGCCTTGATAGTCTCAGGGGGTTCTGGGAGGACAGTCTCAGGGGGTTCTGGGAGGACAGTCTCAGGGGGTTCTGGGAGGACAGTCTCAGGGGGTTCTGGGAGGACAGTCTCAGGGGGTTCTGGGAGGACAGTCTTGATATGGGAGGACAGTATCAGGAGATCTGGGAGGACAGTCTTGATATGGGAGGACAGTCATGGGAGGCCAGTCTCAGGGGATCTGGGAGGCCAGTCTCAGGGGATCTGGGAGGATTCTTGGGGAGAGTGGTAGATAAGCTGACCCTGTGGATGAATGGAAGTTGGTCAGGGGAAAGAGTGTGGAATAACAGAGGACTGGGGACAGAGGGAGGTGTGCACAGGTCTAATGAAGCCTGGAGGGAATGAGACTGTGAACACCTTGAAGAAGGGAAGTTCTGAATGCTGGGACACCAAGTGTGCGGGATGAGCTCTGGCTGGAGCAGGACTCGAGGCAGATCCTGCAGTCTTGGGTGTCATGTTCTGGAAGTTGCTACATAACCCAAGGACCATGAGAAGGTGCTAAAGGGATCTACGCAGGGCAGATGGCCCCACCCAGCAATAAGGCAGGGAAATGTATGACTCTAAGGAGGTGTGCTATGAAAATTGCATCTCAAAAGCCCAGTCTGGGGCTCCTTCAAGGCAGGTTTAGAAGATGTGTCCCATTGCACAGCTAACGGACCTCCGCTCTGCTGAAGATTCCTCTCATCTTCTCCATCTCACCTCGGACTCAGCCAAAGCTGGTGGATACGTATGGAGGGTGAGAAGTGCTAGCCCCCATTGCTACTTTTCACATGGATAACTAGAAACAGTGAAAGGCGTCCTAGGACGGATACCCTAGAAGCAGGATCTGAGAGGGGAAAGTGTGTGTGTTTGTGTGTGTGAAAGAGAGAGGGAGAGAGGGAGAAAGAGAGAGAGAAATCAGCAAAGAGAAAGGGAAGCTATGAGCAGGGCTTTATCTCAGTAAAGATTCAGCCTTGGCCTGTATCATGTAAGACTCTGAAGTCTCATGAAGTGGTTTTTAGTTGGTGTGTGTGTGTGTGTGTGTGTGTGTGTTTTCTGTTTTGTTTTTTTAGTTGTTTGGTTGGTTTTTGTTTGTTTGTTTGTTTTTTTCTAGATAGGGTTTCTCTGTGTAGCCTTCACTGTCCTGGACTCGCTTTGTAGACCAGGCTGGCTTCAAACTCGCAGAGATCCACCTGGCTCTGCCTCCTGGAGTACTGGGATTACAGGTGTGCATGGCAGTGACTCTGAAGTGTTAATTGTGCCAGAGTTGACTCACTTGAGGCTTGAGCACTAGACTTCCGTATGCTGGCATCACTGAGAGCCGGGGTCACTGGGATGTGATTTGGTATAGTCCCACCTACAACAGCTACTCCTCATTGTAAGCTTGATTGGATTAATAAGCACCGAGGGCAGTAACGAGGCACAGCCTTTGGCATGTCCGTGAGAATGTTTCGAGTTGGGAAGACAACCTGCCCTGAAGATAACCTACCCTTATGAACCAGAGTCCTGGAGGAAAAAGAAAGCCAGATGGTCTCCAGAATTCCTGGCTTTGCTCCCTATTCTGCCGAGATATGAGCAAGCAGCTGTCACTACAGAGCCTCTTGCCACCATGATGCTGCCTCCACCGTGTCTTCCCCACCACAATGCACTGTCTCCCCCACAAACGTGAGCCAAAATAAGCTTCTCCTTCCTTAAAACCCCCAAATCTCCAAACTACCCTCAGTCCAAGCTGTTGGGGTTAGTCAAGGGTGCATGTCTGTAGAAGGTTGCAAGTGTCAGTACATCGCATCAAGAGAGAGAAAAAAAATGGGGGTCAATCAAAGGACTCCACACAAGTCGCCAGCAGCATCTTCCGCAAATGGCTGGCTACACAGAGCTCAAGATCTAGAACACATGGAGCAGAGACCCGCTCACATGCTTCGTGCACCCACTGTTTGGACTTTCCGTTCAGCACCTGCTTCTCGGAGCCTGTCCGACTGCTGCTCCAGCGTGGTGACGCTTTCGCCCTGGAGACCATCTGAGAAAATAAGCATTACCTAAAGAAAGAGAGAGGGAAAAAAAAAAAAAAACAGGATGATGGGAAAGCCAGAGGTATAACTGGGAAGGGGGGAGCAGATGTGGGGTGAGGAATTGGACGTAGGCTGTAGTGAGCATACCTGGGCCCTGGAGGCTGATCGCTCCTCAAACACGTCCCAGAGCGACTGCAAGAACTGTGCGTTCAGATGAGTTGGCCCACGGACGGTGACTTGCAGCAGATCATCAAACAGCGCTTTCTGATAGGTTTGGAACTTGGCTGGGAACTCTTGGTCATTGTTCACCTTAAAAGCCAGGTTCACCTGCGCCTCCGCACCTGCCCCACAGCTCACCCCTCTGATAGAGGTGATGGCCTCTAAGATCCTTGGGAGGTGTGATTCCAAGTGGGGATGGTCCTGCAACAAAGGCTGGCCCTCGCGATGAGTGGAAATGTCGAACCCGACCACTACATCCACAAAGCAATCTGGAGACCAAGGAAACGAGAGCCAGGTTAATCAGCAGACAGCAGTAAGGATGGAGGGCAGGGTCAGAAAAAGGATTCTGCCATGCGCCAGAGCTGGAATCCAGGGAGTGTCTAGTACCCAGGGTATGTTTCAAAGGTGAAGATACTGGCTACTCTACCAATATAGAAGGCAAGTGCCTCCTTCGACCCCTGTCATACGTAAAAATTCCAGTTGTTATCTGACGTTCAAACTATGGTTTAGGCTCTCTGCTAGCAGCTCTATGTGTGTGGGTGAATTTTCCTGCTTTTAATGACAACGTGTTCCTACTCGTATGATCATAACATGTTAACCATTTGAACTGTCCTGGAGATCATTCAATTTCCAGTAGTCACAAATGCAAAGTTTTGCAAGGCCGGGTGGGTAATTCTGGTTAGTCAAATGGCCAGGGTGGGAAGACAGTTATCTGGAGACCAGAACAAGCCCCATGCCTGCCCTCCACCAGCACCAGCCGAGAGCAGCCAAGTGGCAAATGGGACCCCATGTAACTAGATCCATTTTTCTTTTTTTATGTAAAGCCTGAGATCTGTATCTTTAATGCAAAGTCTCCACTTTGTAAACACTGTCAACTAAGCAAACAAGTTACGCCAACTACACAGAATGAGCAGGTTACTTGGCTTTCTGACTCCAGGCCCAGGGTTTCCTCCGTCACTTTCCTCCACACGAGTACCCAAACATTAAAGATCTGGAGCACTCGGAGAGATTGACGCATGCTGTAAAGGGGGCGGTAGCCCCCAGCGTCACAGCTCCAGAGACAGCAGCAAGGAAGAGTTACTGCCCATGCAGAAATCCCACATGCTGAGGGATGCCTTCCGCTGTGCTGTCTTCCCAACTCCCAGCCCCAAATGCACAGAAGCTGAGTTCCCTGTGGCTACTGGCGGCTGCAGCTGAGCAGTGACTTCCCAGAGGGATAGCCCACCTCACACCCAGCCAAGCCTACTCCTCTATGATATCCAAGAGGCCTTTGCGGCTATTTATATTTGTGGATTAAATAACCTGTAAAGACAATTGAAATTTTTACTACGTTACAATCACGTAGACGTTGTTCTTTAAAAACAAATCAGGGCTAGGCAGATGGCTCAGCAATTAAGAACACTTGCTGCTCTTACAGAGGACCCAGGTTCGGTTTCCAGCACCCCCAAGCTGGCTCAAAACCATTTGTAACTCCAGTTCTGACACCTTCTTCTGACCTTTGAGGGCACTGCAGCCACAAGTACACACATATACATGCATACACATTCTTGAGGATCTGATGCCCTTTTCTAGCCTTTAAGGTCACTGACATGCATGTGACCCAGACATACACACAGGCAAAACAGCCATAAACAAAAATTTAAAAAAAAAAATAATAAAAGTTTCAACATACCCAAACTTATGGGACACAATGAAAGCAGTGCTAAGAGGAAAGTTCTTCAAGAAGAAATTCGAAACATCTCATGCAAGCAACTTAAAGGCTCACTTAAAAGCCCTAGAAAAAAAAGAAGCAGACACACCAAAGAGGAGTAGACGGCTGGAAATAATCAAACTCAGGGCTGAAATCAATAAATTAGAAACAAATAAAACAATTCAAAGAATCAATGAAGCCAAGAGCTGGTTCTTTGAGAAAATCAACAAGATAGACAAACCCTTAGCCAAACTAACTAAAAGGCAAAGAAAAACCATCCAAATCAACAAAATCAGAAACAAAAAGGGGGACATAACCACAGACACTGAAGAAATCCAAACAATAATTAGGTCTTACTTCCAAAGTCTATATGCCACAAAATTTCAAAATCTAAATAAAATGGACAATTTTCTTGACTGATTCTACATGCCAAAGCTGAATCAAGACCAGGTAAACCAATTAAATAGTCCTATATCCCCTAAGGAAATAGCGGTCATCGAAAGTCTACCATGCAAAAAAAGCCCAGGGCCAGATGGTTTCAGCGCAGAATTCTACCTGACCTTCAAAGAGCTAACATCAATACTCTTCAAACTATTCCACAAAATAGAAACAGAAGGAACACTACCAAACTCATTCTATGAAGCCACAGTCACCTTGGTACCTAAACCTCACAAAGACCCAACAAAGAAAGAGAATTTCAGGCCAATCTCCCACATGAACATGCAAATATACTCAACAAAATACTTGCAAACCGAATCCAAGAACACATCAAAGATCTCATCCACTACGACCAAGTAGGCTTCATCCCAGGCATGCAGGGATGGTTCAACATATGGAAATCCATCAATGTGATCCACCACATAAACAAACTGAAGGAGAAAAACCACATGATCATCTTCTTAGATGCTGAAAAGGCATTTGACAAAATTCAGCATCCATTAATGTTTAAAGTCTTGGAGAGATCAGGGATACATGGCACATACCTGAACATAGTAAAGGCAATATACAGCAAGCCTATAGCCAATATCAAACTCAATGGAGAGAAACTTACATCATTCCCACTGAAATCAGGGACAAGGCAAGGCTGTCAACTCTCTCCATATTTCTTCAACATTGTTCTTGAAGTCCTTGCTAGAGCAATAAAACAATTCAAGGAGATCAAGGGGATACAAATTGGAAAGAAAGAAATCAAAGTGTCACTGTTTGCAGATGATATAATAGTATACCTGAGTGACCCCAAAAATTCTACCAGGGAACTCCTACATCTGATTAACACCTTCAGCAAAGTGGCTGGATACAAAATTAACTAAAAAAAAAATCAGTAGCCCTCCTGTATATAAAATACAAAAGTGCTGAGAAAGAAATTAGGGAAACAACACCCTTCACAATAGCCACAAAGGACATAAAGTACCTTGGTGTGAACCTAACCAAGCAAGTCAAAGACTTGTATGAAAAAAATTTCCAGTCTCTGAAGAAAGAATTAGAGGAAGACATCAGAAGATGGAAAGATCTCCCATGCTCCTGGTTTGGCAGGATTAATATAGTAAATATGGCCATCTTACCAAAAGCAATCTACAGATTCAATGCAATTCTCATCAAATTACCAACACAATTCTTTACAGACCTGGAAAGAAAAATTCTCACCTTCATATGGAACAACAAGAAACCCAGAATTGCTAAAACAATTCTCTACAGTAAAAGATCTTCAGGAGGTATCTCCATCCCTGATCTCAAGCTGTACTATAGAGCAACAATACTAAAAACTGCATGGTACTGGCATAGAAACAGACTGGTGGATCAATGGAATCAAATAGAAGACCCTGACATAAATCCACACACTTATGGACACCTGATTTTTTACAAAGATGCCAAAACCATTCAATGGAAAAAAAGATAGCATCTTCAACAAATGGTGCTGGTCTAACTGGATGTCTACATGTAGAAAAATGCAAATAGATCCATACTTATCACCCTGCACAAAACTAAAGTCCAAGTGGATCAAAGACCTCAACATAAAACTAGACACACTAAACCGCTTAGAAGAAAAAGTGGGGAAGAGCCTTGAACTCACTGGCACAGGAAACAACTTCCTGAACAGAACACCAACAGCACAGGCTCTAAGAGCAACAATCAATAAATGGGACCTCATGAAACTGAAAAGCTTCTGTAAAGCAAAGGACACTGTCGTCAGAACAAAACGACAGCCTACAAATTGGGAAAGGATCTTCACCAACCCTATATCTGACAGAGGACTAATATCCAGTATATATAAAGAACTAAAGAAGTTAAACAGCAAAAAAGCCAAGTAATCCAATTAAAAAATGGAGTACAGAGCTAAACAGAGAATTCTCAATAGAGGAATATCGAATGGCAGAGAAACAAAGAAATGCTCAACCTCATTAGCCATCAGGGAAATGCAAATCAAAACGACCCTAAGATTTCACCTTACACCCATCAGAATGGCTAAGATCAAAAACTCAAGAGACAACACATGCTGGAGAGGTTGTGGAAAAGGGGACCCCCCCCCTCCACTGCTGGTGGGAATATAAACTCGTACAACCACTCTGGAAATCAATCTGGCACTTTCTCAGACAACTAGGAATGGCGCTTCCTCAAGATCCAGCTATACCACTCTTAGGCATATACCCGAAAGAGTCTCAAGTACACAATAAAGACATTTGCTCAACCATGTTTGTAGCAGCCTTATTTGTAATAGCCAGAAGCTGGAAACAGCCCAGATGCCCCTCAGTGGAGGAATGGATGCACAAATTGTGGTATATCTACACAATGGAATATTACTCAGCAATAAAAAACAAGGAAATCATGAAATTTGCAGGTAAATGGTGGGATCTGGAAAAGATCATTCCGAGTGAGCTATCCCAGAAGCAGAAAGATGCACACAGTATATACTCACTCATATAGGCATATAATATAAGATAAACCTACTAAAATCTGTACACCTAAAGAAACTAATCAAGAGGAAGGACTCTTGCTAAAATGCTCAATTCCTATCCAGAAAGGCAAAGAGGATGGACATCAGAAGAAGGAGAAAAGAGGGAACAAGTCAGAAGCCTGACACAGAGGACCTCTGAAAGGCTCTGCCCTGCAGACTATCAATGCAGAAGCTAAGACTTATGGGCAACCTTTGGGCAGAGTGCAGGGAATCTTATAAAAGAAGTGGGAAACAGTAAGATCTGGAGAGGACAGGAACTCCAAAAGGGGAGTAACAGAACCAAAAAATCTGAGCACAGGGGTCTTTCCTGAGACTGATACTCCAACCAAGGACTATGCAGAGAGATAACCTAAGACCCCTACACAGATGTAGCCCATGGCAGTTCAGTATCCAAGTGGGTTCCATTGTAGGAACAGGGGCTATCTCTGACTTGAACTGATTGGCCTGCTCTTTAATTACCACCCCTGAGGGGGAAGCAGCATTACCAGGCCACAGAAGAAGACAATGCAGCCACTCCTGATGAGACCTAATTGACTAAGATCAGAAGGAAGGAAAAGAAGACCTCCCCTATCAGTGGATTTGGGGAGGGGCATGTGTACAGAGGGTAGAGGAAGTGAGGGATTGGGAAGGGAGGAAGGAGGGAACCACAGGGGGGATACAAAGTGAATAAAGTGTAATTAATAAAGAATTAAAATAATAATAATAATAATAATAATAATAATAATAAAAGTTTTAAAAATCCGCTCTATAATCCCAGCACTCAGGGAGGCAGAGGCAGGTGGATCACTGTGAGTTCAAGGCCAGCCTGGTCTACAAAGCAAGTCCAGGACAGCCAAGGCTACACAGAGAAACCCTGTCTCAAAAAAAACAAAAACACTCTATACACCCACATAAATGTACACACACACACACACACACACAGCACACACCACACACTGACTCCTTTAGTAGTTTAACAATGTTAAAACCATCAATAGTGAATTGTTCATTTTCCTTACTTCCTGCTGGATGAAGGACATTGTCCAGAGGACTTGCAAATACAGGAGACGAAGCTCCAGGGATGAAGGGAGCATAAACCCTGGATGGTAGTGAGGGACAGGGAAGCCTACAGGATACAGCCCAACCTATCCTCTTATGTTCTATACCCAGTCCTGTCGCTGAGGAAGGCTGACTCATCACAAGCTTCCAGGGAGAAGCAGCAATTGATGTCTCTTCTCACCACACATTGTTCTAAGTGGATTCCACAGGGGCTAGCCCCTAATACAACCTGGGGACATGGAGGCACAGGAAGCCGCCATCAAGTCAAACAACAGCAAGACACTCACTGGCTTTCCCACAGCTCTGGCAGATTTCACGGACCATTCTCTTCTTCACATCCACATTCTTTAGTTTATTAAAGTCTTGGAAAGTAATTATTTTCTCCGAATTTCCTGTGATAGGAAGAAGTTGTTCCTTATAAATATCTCCTATGCCCAAAGCCAGCACACAAATGCCAAGGTCTTTCAGGACTTTCACTGCGTCTGTCACATCGTAGCGGGGAGCAGCAGATGTGATGATCACCAAAGTCTGAGGGACACCAGCGTATCTTCTCCCGCCGACAGATGGATCAAACATGTGTTTCACGTGCAATAGAGCAAAGTCAAGTCGTGGAAACCCTTTGCTCTTGGCCATAGTTTGGATCTGAGATTTCCACTGAGTCTTGTTCGGAGAGCTTTCCAACCCGATAATTTCCTGATACAGGCTCCCGTATTGAGCCATCCCTACTTTCATTCTTTGAGACTGAATGTCAAAATTATCAATTAAGTCTGACAAGAAAGTTGTCATGGTAACAAACTCCGAATCAGACACCATGTCAGAGCCATCACAAAGGAAAATCACGTCAGCTTCCTGGAGGTTACAGGCTGGAACAGGAAGAGGGGAGAAAAAGAATAAATTATTTTCCTCGTGCATCATTCTAAATTGTTCCTTTACTGGGATACTTAAATTGCTTTGCTAAATACTTAAATTGTTTCGCGTTAGCAGCAAATTGAGATAAATTAACAGAAGAGAGACTCACTGATTGAACCTCAAAGAGAAGGAAAAATAGCAGGAAAGAGTAGGATAATAGACGTTTTTCAAAGTGTAATTATATTTGCATGAGCTATTGGAAAAGATACTGCAGGCTATTCAGAAAGGAAGTAGGTGATTTGAATAGATTGAATATTCTCGGGAGATGTTTTATAAGCATAGAAATCTCTGCAATGTCTGCAGATCAGAACCGTCTAGGTAGGAATTGCATTGTGTCCTGTTGAAGCTCCTGTTGTTACTAATGCTGCCAGTTTAAACCTGTATTGAACCGTATCATTTCCGAAACACTTTGGGCATGCAACAACTGAGTAAATAGTCCCAACCAGCCTATGACACATGATTCTAATTGTGCATGCGTAGAAGTGGAATTCAGAGTTGGGTAAATTTGTAAGAATTCGTAATTACTGTGAAGGAAAAAAAAATGTATCTGAACTTCTAGAAACTTAAACTCTTTTTTTTTTTCTACTGCAGTTTTTCATGTCATATCCTCAGTATTAAAAGTGAACGGGACAGGTGTGCGGTGTTCATAAACAGAGCACAGGATCATCTTACTGAAGCTCAACGTGACATATCCTAAAACCCAAGGAATAACTTTCTCCCGGCTCCAGCCAGACGCCCCGGCTCGGTAGAAGCAGCAGCAGGGTAATCACAAACGGCCACCACCAGTTGCCCAGTGTCACGAAATTCCTTTGTAAAGCACAGAGGCGGCTGCAGAGCTGAGCTGTCCAGACAGGCCTTTTGGGAGGAAAGAGCTTCCTGCAGCTAGTGGGGCCGCCAGCTGTCAGCTCCTTCAGGGCTGCCTTCTTGCACAGATACCTTGCCAATGGCATGCCTTTCCCAGGGCAGCCCACCCTCCCTTCTCACCCCATCCTTGCTGGCTAAGTCTGACGCTGGGCAGCTGCCCTGGGAGGTGCTTGCTTCAGAGCTACTAGCTTTACCCCTTCACTGAAGATGCATCACTGGCTGGTTTCTGCCTCCCTGCCCTCCTCCGCATTTCACAAGCGTGGCTCCTTAAAACACCACCGACCCCAGACTCCATCTCAGCATTCACTTCTGAAAGGTAACATGGGAGATGAGGATAGAGTGGCGTCCATATTCCTAAGACCAGGCTTCCTAACAGGCTAGCTTTGGCTGGAACCCAATAGTGAAGGAGAGGCCAAGGGACTCACTGTCTTTTGACTGATCCAGATGAGAAAACAGCAAGATATGTACTAAGTGTTAACGCCAAGAGAAAGATAAAGCGCCAGAGTTTGGGAGCTTGGGGCAAGCAAAAGCTTAAACTTGTTAGGTATTTTAGATGCAGGGAAGTGATGGGCTGGGTATTTGTAGTGGGTAGAACGATGTGCACAAAGATGTGGAGAAATTTCAGAATGAGGAAGACATGAAAAGGGCAAGGGGAACAGAAGAGACGGGAGAAGTACATAAGGGTCGGATAGAGTTAGAATGCTTCCAAAACACTGTGGGCAGCGGTGTGACACAGTCCAGCATGTGTAAGATACGTAATACAGAGTTGAGAGTGACCTGCATAGCAACAGGACAGATGGGGGTGACACAGACCCCCGGGCACACACATGAATATGTACACGTGCATACGTCACACCCCCAAAAGCTCAGACACCAAGACGGAGCAGGGGATGGAAGAGACTGTGAGAGCCAGGGGAGGAAGATGACCAGGGAAAACAGTGTCTTAAGGACGTGGTAGGACAGTAGCTGTGACTGCGAGAGTCTTGCGTGAGATCAGTCAGCCAACCTTCTACGGTGGAGGTGAGAGGAGACTCCGAGTCTCCACCCCTCGCTGAGGAGCTACGTGCAGCGGGTAGCTCTGGGGGAGGTAGCGTCAGCTTTCTTTAGTGTCAGTAGCTAGCCATACGTATATGGGCAACCCAAGCTGGAAAAGAAAACCTGAAGCTGGGGGAATGAGAGATGTGAGAGGTGGGCCTGGGAGGCGTTAGGAGAGGGGGTGGGTGTGAATATGACCGAAGTGATCACAACTCCATCCCCAGAGAACAAAACGACAAGCAGGAATCATAGCGGCTTACTCTCTTGTGAATTATTGCACAGAGTCTCTTGCAGGGACTGATAAATATCTCCCAGTTTGTCGAAATTGTCTACATGGACAGTATTTTCTCTCTTCCCTGCCATGGTGTCCAGTTCGTCTTGGTTGGCGGCTCCCACGCCGACCGCAAAGATGGTGATGCCTTTGTCCCTCAGTTCCCGTGCTGTGTCATTGAGCTTATTGCGGTCGTGGGACACGCCGTCTGTGATGACAATCATCAGCTGCCTCACGTCTTGCTTCAGGCGGCTGCCATGCTCTTCCGTGAACAGGATGTTGGAGTGCTGGAGAGCCTTGGCGGTGTAGGTCTCCCCTCCGGTGTCCCGGGGCCTCCTCAGGTGATCGATGATGGCCGATCTGCTTGAGTGCGTGTTAAGGTAGAAAAGGATCTCAGGGTTGTTGGAGTATTTGAGAGCTCCAAACTGAACTCGGTCCCTGCCAATGTCTGCCTTCTTCACCAAGTGGATGGTGAGGTTAATCATGCTTTCTTGCTGTTGGGGATTTATGCTGCCTGAATGATCCAGCACGAACACAATGTCTAAGAGTTCGATCCTCTTGCAATCTGGAAAACAAACAAACAAGCAACAGGCATTCACAAACTCTGCCATGCGTCCTGTATGCACTGAGGGAAAGCGGCCAACTCTCGCCATGGGCGTTTGAGGTATGTGACGCCCCTCCCCCATCACCCATGACTCACGTGATTATCCTCTCACACGTGCACAGGTGTGTGTGTGTGTGTGTGTGTGTGTGTGTGTGTGTGGAGGCCAAAACTCAAGCTCATTCCACGGAACACCATCTACCTCGGTTCTGAAGTAAAATCCCTCACTGGCCTAGAAGTCACCAAGTAGGCTAGGCTGGCTGGCCTACAAGCCCCAAGGCCCTGTGCGTCGCCACCTCCTCAGCACTGAGATTAACGCGCTTGAGATGTCAAAACTCTGGCTTCTTCAGTTGGGTGCTGGGGATCAAACTCTGATCTTTACAGTTTGGGGGCAGGCACTTGGCCAACTGAACACTCTCCCCAGCTCCTGTGTCATTTGGTTCTTTGAGGTGGTTTTTGTCATTTTACAGAGGAAGAAACCAAAGCTCAGTCAAGGACAAGTTGCCAGAGCAGAATTCTAAGGGCACATGTACCCTTACCTAAGGGGCATCATAGCTGGTGGCCATTATGCCACACCATTCTGTCCTGCCATGTCTCAGACCCAAGGGTGCCCTTGCTAATCAGCTTTCAGCAGAAAAGCAATGTCAGAAGCCAATTCAAGGCCAACATAATGGGAGACATGCTAGGTTTGCAAAAGCTGCCTGCTGTCTTGAGTTCAGGAGCTCATTGTGTAGGAGTGGCCCTCTCTGGCTCCAGCTGTCTTCTGTGCCCCAGTACACAATCCTTCCCATCTATACCATGGAACTCCCTGCTTATGTGTGCTCCGTCCTGGCCTCCAGAATTCAAACTCAGTAAAGGAACAGACATAAATAGAAGAGAATGAAAGCATTCATCTCTGCTCCCCTAATCCCAAGCCCTCTTCCATTCTCAAAGCCAACAGACCATTCCCTGGTGGTCTTCAAAGTCTAGACTCTCATAGTGTTTTTTGATTGTTATTTTCCTTTCATCGATAACCTAGGCATTTCCACTCCAAAGTTCCCTTTCTTTTTCACCTCTCACCAACCTGTTCTACCTCCATTCTTTATTTCAGCCAGTGAGGTTCTCAAATTTTCAAGTCCCAGACACAGTGGATGAGCCAAGCTATCCCTGTGAAAGCCTGGGGCTACGGCTTCACTGGGACTTGGTGACTGGGCATGACTTGAAAACCATTTATGGCTTGGTTACTATATGAAGCAGCTGAAATTTCACGTTATGCTCTAGACGTGGCTCTGCCAACATTATTTATCAAAATGAAGGAGTCTAAGGATGAAGGTCTGGCCCTTTAGTACACCTCTCAACACGACCAAGAGCACGGGCATCAGTGCTAACACATAGAAAAAGGAAAGCCCTGAGATAGCACCTAAAACTCAGTTTGCAATGAGGTGTTTCATTTGTTAACATTCCAAACACTCTGAGCACGTGATATCAAAGCATGAAACCCAGTGAATATTTCTACGTGGCCACGAGAATGCACAACAAACTTCTGATGTTTTCGTTTGCTCTCTTAGCTGTTACCAAAACAGATAACGGCATTTGACAGTTTTTAGAATGTATGTCTTCAGTCCTTGCACAAACTGATAGCAAGTTCTAGCTCAAGAGAGGTTAAATCTGATGGGATCTGGGCTAAGACTCAGCTCAGTAGTACAGGAGCCTGCCTCGCATCTTCGAGGCACTGGACTCAGATCCCAGCACTGAAAAAAAAACAAAAACAAAAACAGATATTGGCTCAAATGGAAGATTGCTCAATACTTTTTTAAAAAAGCATTATGATTTATGACATAAATGTGGTAACCTCAAATAATCAAGGAGAAAGTCACATAATAAAATTTCACAAGTGATAGTACACCAACAGACAAATGCCTGGTTTCCAGAAGTTAAGAAGAATACAAATCAGTAAAAATGCACACTGCATATTTAAAATATGAGTCATGTTTTCGGTAGATCAGGGCTGTTTAGGTTACCATTTAATATTGCTAAAAGGAAGATGCATTTATGCTTCCAATTACTTCCTGCCCTAGATGATTTTATAGATACATGGAATCATCTATGTATATGTGACAAAAAAAAAAAAAAAAGTAGGAGCAAAAATATCTAGGGAAACAAAAGGGATTAATGTGAGGAGGAGGGACCAAGAAAGGAAGAGTCGGGAGGGTGTATGGGAGAATGTGCTCAACACATGCAGACAAAACAGCCACACAGAGAAAAAGTATAGCTAAGACCCATATCCTAAAACCCTGAAGTCTAGGAAGTGGCTGAGACCAGAGTGCAGCCTTTTCGTGCATGTTAAGTCAACAGCTCACATCCTGGAGTCTTGAAGCGGGGGAGGGGAGAAAGCACTCACCATGTAGAGCACACACACGGAAGATGAGTTTACTCTCTATGGCCTTCAGATGATCGAAGTTCTCAACGTGGAAAACTAGGCTGCTGTCCCCACTGATCTCCTCCAGCTCAGCCCTATTGGCCCCATACACACCCACGGAGAAGATGGTCACACCTTTGTTCCTGAGAGCCCTGGCAGGGCCCCCCACTTCATCCTGGGCTTTTCCGTCGGTGAGGAGGATGAGAAACTTTTTGACCTGGGGGCGGCCCCCCTTGGCAGGGTCAAAGTATTGGTTCACAAAGGTTAGTGCACTTCCGGTAAGAGTGTTTCTGTTGATGGGAGCCATCCCGTCTATCTGGGCATAAATTTCTTCGCGTGTGGAGTGTCTGTTAAGCTGGAATTCTTCCTTATTGTAATCACTGAACTGAACAAGACCAACTTGGGTTCTGTGGGCACCAATTTGCATCTTCCCTACCAGACTTTTCATGAACGTTTTCATTGTCTCAAAATTTGTAGGCCCTATGCTTCCAGAACTGTCCACCAAAAACATGATGTCCACCTTCATGTCTTCACATCCTGTATGGTGGGAAAAGATCAGAAAGTGGTGTGATGCTCAGCCATGAGGAAGCAGTAAGCAATACAAAGGCACCTATGATGAAAACGTGCAAAATCAACAAAGGGAATTGCTGTTATGTTGGAAACTTTTATTCATGACTTTGGTAGAAAAAGCCTGACAAGAGCCCTGCATCAGAAATTCACTGAGGACAATCCAAGAAATCTTAAAAGGAAAATGTCACTTCCAACTGCCAGTCCTTTAGCCATACAATCACTCATTCACCATCGATTCATCATACGTTTATCATTTACCTATTCACTGTTCACCCATTCATCACTCATTCATTCAGAACTCTTTAAGTGCATAGAAAGACCAAGCTTCACCTTAAGCATTAAAGATGCAACAGTGATTTTAAAAATTAATCTGACCCAAAGTAACCAATTCTCGGACATTTATGGGACTAATACTTCAGAGTTTAAACACAGCCTTGAAAAACATACTTTAAGTAATTTTAGAGCAATGTTGTGTTTTTTGTTTTTTGTTTTTTTTTTTTTTGGTATAGTTTTAAATTATTTGATAAATAAGTCAACGCTAGAAATTGCAGTGAAAAAAAATTAAGATATTACATTCTTTAGTACACACGTATATCCATTCACCATGGACTACTCCTTTATACATAAAATTTATAGATAGTCCTTATAGGAATTGGATATGCTTGCACGTGCGTGTGCGTGCATGTGTGTGTGTGTGCATGTATACATACACATAAGGTCAACTTCTATGAACTATTGAAAAGGGTGTTATTGGGGCTAGAGAGGTGGCTCAGCAGTTGAGAGTACTTGTTGCTCTTGCAGAGGACCCAGGTTCAAGTCCCTCTACCCATAACTCCAGTCCCAGGGGTTCTGGCGCCCTCTTCTGACCTCTGCAGGCACTGCACTCACATGGCGCACACATACATACAGGCAACCAAAACACTCAAACATATAAAATAAAAATCTTTAAAATTAAAAAAATAAAAATATGGCTTTGACAAAGCCCCAAAGTAAAGCGAAGTGTTGACGACGCTTATAAAGGATTAGATATTTTTTCTATGCATTTAACATCCACAGGAGTGTCCCCTTACTTCTTCTACAGGTGATAGGGACTGCTTCTGGTATGCTGATGTGTGTCCCCAGTCTTGCCTGCTAGTTGAATTTCATCCAGGCAGAAGAATGCTTGTCCCAGCTTCCTTGCAACCAGACATGACCCCTTGACCAAGTTTGAACCAGTAGGTGAGCAAGAGCACCCCAGCCTCTTCAGGGTCCTACCATCAGGGCAACTGAGTGCAGCAAGCTCCTTTCAGGCCTCCCTTTCCACCGTCGGGAGGTGAGGAGTACAGCTTCAGTTCTGACGGAAAGGGGGATGCACCTGCCTCTCCACCAGACCTGAACTGCTCAGCCTAACTATTACATAAGAGAGAGCCAGGCAGCACCGTTGTGCAGCTGACACACAGAAACACTGCCTCGCTCCGTTAGCACCCACCCGGAGGCATGTTGCTGTTCTCTGGTCCCCCCACACCCCAGGCTTAGGCTCCTTGGAATCCTGTGTCCCACTCACCATTCGGGACTCTTTTCCTATTCTATGCTACCTGAACAAAAGATGCACCAGCCCCTCACATCACTCTAGAACCTTCTCCTCTAACGAAGGATCTCAGGTGCTCCCTAAAGGAGCTTCCTGGAGCCCTTCTCCTTCTCCTGGAGTCAAGCCCAGGAAACACTGGGAACCGTTCTTTCTCATCATCCTGCTTATAGACCCCAACTGTACATGACAACTGTATTACTGTTGGCAACAAGGGAATGAGAAGACGAATCCCATGATGTGGAGTTCTGACCTCGGTATCCCTCCTTTGCTTGTTTGCTTTTCTTCCCAGTGGCTCAGAAAAACAAAACAAAACAAACAAACAAAAAAAACCTCAGACATATTTTGTATCCTTATCCTCTCCTCTCCAGTGAAAACCTCAGCCAACTTCTGCAACACCCAACTTTGTTGGTTGGTTAGTTGATTGGTTGGTTTTTCCTTTTTGCTTTGCAAGACTGAGGCTCAAACCTAGGGCTCATTCATTCTAGACAAGTGTCCCAGCACAGAGCTGCAACCCTATTCACACATGAGTTTTATGCATCCCTTTCTGTGACTCATCTTGATTTCCTTACCTTTGTCGGAGCAGATGCTGCGAACAATTTCATTTTTTATGCTCTTCAGAGAATCAAAATTCTGCCCGAAGTTAACCCTTTCTGCTTCCCCAGCAATCTGCTGCAGCTGTGTCTTATTCGCCTCACCAATCCCCACTGCATGGATGGAGACGTGTTCAGCCCTCAGTCTGTTGGCAGGTTCGAGAACGAGGTCTTCTGACTTCCCGTCAGTCAGGACAATGAGGTAACAGGGGACGCCATCTGTCCTCTCTGACTTTCCCGTCTTTATTATTGGCAGGATGAAATCCAGGGCTTTGCCAGTGAATGTACCACCTTTGAGCTGCTTGATGTTAAAAACAGCCTTCTTCAAGTCACTGCCATCCATGTAGAGAGAAATGGGAAATTCCACTTGATTCATATTTGAATATTGCACGACTCCAACTCGGACTTTGTCAGGACCGATGGGGAACATGTCTATCACAGATGACATAAATATCCGGATTTGCTCAAATTGTTTCTTGTTTATGCTGCCTGAGCCATCAATGAGGAAGTAGATATCAGCCTCCTTTGTATCCACACAGCCTAAAAAGGAAACACACATGGAACCTAGGAAGTGTGTTCTCTGTCAGTCACAGAGCATCTTGAGGGAACGTTGTCTCAGGCTTTGTGAGAGAAGCTGTACAGGTGCTAAAGAATGAGGCCTCGGAGCACACACCTTTAATCCCAGCACTTGGGAGGCAGCAGATCTCTGGGATCAAGGACAGCCTGGCCTACAGAATAAGTTCTAGCCAGAGCTATGCAGAGAAACCCTACCTCAAAAAAGGAAGGAAGGAAGGAAGGAAGAAGGAAGGAAGGAAGGAAGGAAGGAAGGAAGGAGAGAAAAAAAGAAAGAGAGAGAGAACAACACAGGGCCTCTGCCATTTTAACCTTTGAAATGTATCACTATCTTGGGAAAACACAGCAAGGCATAGTGGTTTATCTAAGATCACACAGCCAGGACTGGATTTCCCAGGCCTCCAGGCTGTAAATAAAATCATTTTATGGGCTTTGACAATTGCCTCTTTAGAGTCTGTGTCTTAATCGCTTCCTTGGAAACAGCGTGGGATCAGTGCCATCTGTTCTGGGTGCTTTCGTTTTGCTTTGCTCTAAGACAGAGTCTCTATGTGGTCTGGGCTGGTCCTGAGCTTGGGCTGATCCTCCTAACTCTGCCTCCCAGGTAAAGGATTACAGGTATGCACCCCATGTCCCACTGTGACCCCTGCCCTCTTCCCCACCCCCAATGAGCTGTTCTTCCCAGAGCAATTTAACGTGTTTAAAGCCAAAATCAGGTCAGGCTATGTTCCCACATCCATGAATTAGAATTTTAAATTAAAAATCAGCCTTGACTCCTGGCTTACTCTCTGATCCTAGATCGAGCAATTCTTCATACCACTCACTGTGTTTTAATCACACTGAACTTCTATTTGTTTAGTTTGTTTGTTTGTTTGTTTGGTTGGTTGGTTGGTTTGGTTTAGTTTTTTTTTTTAAGTATAAGTGTATTGTCTGTCTGTGTGCGTGTGCACCATATGTGTGTGGTGCCTGTAGAGACCAGAAGAGGGCATCAGATTCTCTGGAACTGGAATTAGAGGTGAATCAACAGGTGCCTAAAGCTCCCATGTGAGTGCTGGGAATCAAACCTGGGTCCTCCAGAAGAAGAGCCAGTGATTGTGATGATCTCTCAAGGCCCAGACTTTCTATTCTTTAAATGTTCCCTAGAGTCTTAGCACTAGTCCTCCTCTCCTGAAATGTTTCTCGTTATAGATACACCAAGCCAAAAGTCAGTTTAAAAAAACGGCCTTTACTTCCCCTCTAGCCAACAGCTGACATGTTAGTCATTCTATATCCATTCTCCCTCTCTCTCTTTCAAGAAAAAATTTCTTTGTGTAGCCCTGGCTGTCCTAAAACTCACTCTGTAGACCCAGCTGGCCTTGAACTAGGAGATCTAGCTGCCTCTGCCTCTCCCTCCCAAGTTCTGGGATTAAAGACACGTATCACTGCACCGGGATTTGTCACTCTATTTCCATTATGGCATTTTCCAAAATTGATTTCTTCATGAGCATAACCCATTTCCTACCACAGACTACCACCTCCAAGAACACAGAGATTTGCTAAGCCTTGCTTCTGCCTCGTAGGCCTGGCACATCACAGAAACTCAACAGTTATTTTAAACAAAAGCCCTTTCAAAGCCTCTTCCTTTTTCACACTGGATATATGGGATGGGGGCGCATGTTTTTTTTTTTTTTTTTTTTTTGTCTTGTGTAGCTCAGACTAGCTTGGGACTATCTGTGTCACTGAGGATCACCCTGAACGCCTGATCTTCCTGTTCCATATTCCAAGTGCTGGGATTACAAGTTTTGTCATCATGCCCAGCCAATTTTAATTTTTGTAACAGCTAATAACTTCTCTTTTGTCGTTCACAGGAAATGGGTAGCACATGTTCAAACTGTTAAGTTTCATATGCCAATATCTTGTTAAGCAAATGAGCCAATCTTTTAAACACGAGGCAACTTAGCCATTTTAGAATCCATTTTGTTAGCAGCTTTTGGGGCAACTGATGATTCCTGACACTACTGTAGGCTTTGAGCGACCGTTTCTTAAAAAAAATAAATAATACTGGAAATAAGTCCAATCCAGAGAATTAAAACTGTGAAATCAATACACAAATCTTTGAGGCTGAGATCACAGTCATCTGCAAAGCACATGTTGATCTGGGCTTGTAAACCTTGAGTGTGAGCAGAATGAACCAATACGTAGTCTAAGAAAGACCTACAGGTTCACCGGAAGGAAGGAAGCAGCTGCCGGTGAGGATCACAGCCAATCACAACGATTCCCTGCACCTCTGCCCTCTCACACACCAGGCTTCACTCGTCATTGGTCGCTGTTGCTCTTAACTCACAAACCTAGAGGCCAGCCAGTAAGGCACAGCACATAAGTGGGAGGACCTGCCTTTGGTTCTCGGCACCCACACTAAGGAAGGGAGCACTTTTCTGTAGTCCAGCGCCGGGGAAGTAGAGTCTGGGAGATCTCTAGGCGTTGGTGGCCAGCCAGCCTAACCAAATCTGGGAGCTCCAGGTACAGGGAGAAACCCAACCTCAACAAATAAGATGAAAAACATTTGAAGAAGATGCTGACACTGATCTCTCGTTTCTACATGCAGGTGCACACAAATATGTTCATTCGCACAAACAAACAAACAAACAAACAAACACCCATTAACTTAAAAATACCTTAAAATTAGGGTGAGCAAAATTGTTTAGAGGGTAAAAAGAAAGCGATGGCCATACATGCCTGACACCCTGAATTCAATTTACAGAACCCATGGCGGAAGGCAAGAACTGAGTCCCATGCTGTCCTCTAACCTCGACACATATGCCATGGCTCACAAACACCTCCTATACATGCAACAAAAATCCATTTTAAATTAAATAGAATCAAAAGTCATCTCACTTACAGCTCATTGGCTGGCCAACTTTTGGACTGTAACCCTTGGATGGCAGTTATGAAACATGCCCACCGTTTGAGTAGACAGAAGTGAATTGTTTCTTGGCGTAAGGCCGTACAGTTCCATTAAACAGAGATAAATAGAGCTACCGACGTGTAAATTTGGCTTTTAAAACTGAAATGTTTGTTTTCAACTGGGTGCCGCTAGACCTGTCACTCACAAAAACAACTCTCTTATGTGATGCCACGTCCCTGACAGCCTTTTTTATATAGTTTAGTTTTTATCTCATCATGTCTGGGAAGAGAAAATGTTCTGGTGAGAAGACATAAATGGCCAGCCCCTCTGGACACCGACAATTCTCACTGTTATAGCATCTTGAGTTTGGATAAAGTAAATGTCCCTCTGATTTATTAATGCCCTAGTTAACAAATTAACAGAAAGAGAGACAGAGAGACAGCATTAAGCAAGCCAAGCCCAGTGCTATCTGAAGGTGGAGCTACACATTATTTTTTTTTCTCCATGTCCATCTACACTATAAAAATGTTTTATGTGTAATGTGCACGGCTTTATTACGACCTACTGAGGCCTAACTTGCACATCACAAAGTCAATCCATTGTAGGCATATTGTTCAATGGATTTTGGCATGTTTGTAGCTATGTAACTATCACCCAACTTCAGAGTTTTTTTGTTTTGTTTTGTTTTGTTTTGTTTTTTAACATTCTTACAATCCTTAAAATTCCCCTGACTAAATTGTGCTCAATGTCCACTCCTGCCCCAACCCCAGGCAACCATTGCCATTAGCCACGTAATAACAAGAGTCTTCTAGACATACCGGTTTTATCTAGCTCCACGTGTTCTGCGTGAGTAGAGACTTGGGCCCAGATTTCATTGTGGATCTTCTTCAGGAAGTTCTCGCTGTATAATTCCAAGTGTTCGTAGGAGCTGTGTGTGGAAATGCTCTGCCCGGCAGGATAAGACACTATGTCTTCTAACTGTGTGCTGTTGGCCCCTTGGATGCCCATCGCAAACATGGTTACCCCCTCCAAGCGAAGGTCCATCGCGACATCCCGCACCGCGTCATCGGATGGTCTGTGGGTGACCAGCACAGCAATCTGAGGGACCCCCTGTGCCTTTCTGCTGCCGCTGGACTCTGAGAAACCTTCTTTTTTCATCTGCTCAATGGCCGCCCCGAGGTTAGACCCCCCAGTCCGGAGGGAGAGCTTCTGGATTTGCTGATGGAATTCTGACTGGTTGGTGCTTGACATCAGAGAAGAAATAGTCTGAGCCCTGTCACTGTAGCTCATCAGTCCAAGTCGCATGCAATTGTCCTTCACATCCACAGAGCTGGTGACATTCTCCAGGAAGTTCTTCAGGTTCCTCAGATTTTGTGTGGTCCCAACTGACTCATCCACCAAGAATATAATGTCAGCAAGGGAGTCTTTCTGACAGGATATGGGAAGGGGAACTGTGGAGACAGAAAAGTCGTGAGGTTAGGAGAGACCACTCGGGCTGGAGTGAGAGGGACTTCAAGGACTGCAGTCACTCATGCAAATGGAGTTACCACGAACCCAGTCAGAACTGCTTTCTCTCAGCAAGCAAAACATCAAAATTCTGAATCAGCCCGGCAAGGTCATCAAATTCAGAGGCCCCGTGTGTACTCTTTCCTCCATCGTTAGCAATGTTCCTGCCACATGCTTCCAGCCAGCACTGCCACAGTCATCTCTGTGACCGCCCACCGCTACCATAGACGTCGCCATTGTACAATAGACACTTCACACTGCCAGTGTGACCACAGTCACTTGTGCAGTCGTCACAAGACCAGCGCATGAAACTCACCTCTGATACCAGTATTCCCACCACCATCAGGAGGACCACCTCCACCACAGTGGCCACACCCGCCTTTCACCATCAAGGTGGCCATTGTGGCTGCTGCCACAACCTTCATCGCCATTTCCCTTACACGATGATGCAAAGGGATGCATTGGCAGGCATATTTCTGACCTCAACAAGCTCACATTCCGTGACCAGATTCTGTTCTTTCAAGCGGTGACAATTGCTACCAAAGAAAGCAAAGCAGATGGCTTGACTGGTTCTCCTGGTGGCGTGGTTGGGGGAGAGAAATCCATGTGAGCTGTGAAGTCCAGGCAGGCCCCTCTGAAAGGATCACATTTGGATGGCATGTGAATGTAGGAGGTTTGGAAGAAAGAGAATTTCTAGGAGAGAGGAGAGCGAAAGATGGAGACAAGCAAGGAGTGGCTAGAGCCAGTGGATGAGGGGGAACAATAGTGATGAGGTAAGAGGAGAGCAGGCCCAGACCACCTGGGAGTCACATGACCTGTTTTACATTTCTTAAGCAGCACTCCAGGTGCTGAAGAGAATTGTGAATTCAAGGTCGCAATATGAAACTGCTCTGGTCAGGAATGAGACATGACAATAGCAGTAAGGCAGAGCAGCAATATCAGTTCTCATACATGACTAGAGAGACAGCAGAAAACCCAATGATTGGATACAAAAGAAGACATATGGGAGGACTCCTGGGCTTAGGGTTTGCACAACTGAATGGATGGTGGCATTCAGAGACAGAGGGAAGAATGAGTTAGAGGTAGGATCCAGGAGTTTAAACTCAGATACGCTACTTTTCACACAGCATTGAGCATCCAAGAGGAGATATCACATGAGCAGTTGTTTGCAAGAATCTGGAGTCTACGGTAGAGTACACCACATTCACAGCAAACATACTCCAAACACGGGCGGGCGAACCACATCTGTGCAAAGCCGAGACGTCAGACAAGCTTAATCTTGTCAAGAGCTGCACATTCGCTTCTCTGACCCCAGAAGACAGAAAACCTCTTACTTATCTCTGTCCCTCTAATGCTGGGCACCTGGTATGAGAACTAGAATATTTGTAGAGAATTAATTAAACCCAATTCTCATAAACTTCACTTGGAATCCCACAGCAGCACCGACTAAGCCAAACTCCCAGCGTGACCTCCTCAAGCCAGCATTTATTTGTCAACAGCTGTTACCAGCAGTCAACAATAGTCACACAAGTCGCTTTGCCCTTGTTAGCAGATAAACACTCTTTCCCTCACTTTACGAGGAAGGGAACGGAAGCCCATGGGTTAAGAAAACTACCCAATGTGAGAGAGCTGGCAGGCTGACCGACTCAGATACCACACAAACACAGATCCATGTCTGTGGGTGGACCCACCCAACATCTACTTCACCTATTAACTGCTGGAGCTTGTGAAAGGGTCGGAATCAAAGCTGCAGCTTCCACGATGAAATGTTTTCTATGCTTTGTTTTGTTTAATTTGCTGGGTTGGTTTTGGTCTTGTTTTCTTTGCGGCAGGAGGTTTCAAGGGCAAAGGGCAGATAAGAAGGGATGGGAAAATGCATAAGATTAGGGTGCATGAGGTGAGGCTCACAGAGAGTCAATGAAAAGTTGAAGAAGGAGGAGGATAAAGAGGAGGACGAGGACGAGGAGGAAAAGGAAGACAAAGAGGATGAGGAGGAGAAGAAAACTACCCACAGCCCTAAACACCCAGCCATAATTTTAAAACACTGACGACATAGCCTTGCTTTAACTTCCAGAAGGCAGGTACCCTTCCACGCAGGACCTTGTCTTATACTACAAGAGGGAGTAAGGAAAGTGTGATCAGTACATGGGCCCCTTAAGACAGTGTCAGAGCTCCACCTTTCCAGAGAGACGAGATGAAGAGATACCTGAAGAGTCAGGGAGCAGGAAGAGAAATCCACGAAGCCGAGGGTTCTCCTGCTGTACTCTGGAGGCACAGCCAGGCTTCAACCCAGAGCAACATTCTTACTGAACCCCTGCCTAGGACTGTGTCTCATCACCAGGACTGTGTGTGCAGCCTCCTGTTCCGTATTTTTTGTTTCCTACTGATGCTTTCTAGGTCCAGCTCCCCAGCGACAACTGGACTCAAGAGTATTCTGCTTTGAGGTCATCACAGAAGACTGACCTAAGACACAAGTGCACCATCCTTCAGTAAGAAGGCGTGAGCTCGTGAGGCATTAGCATTCCTCCTTTGTGCCAAGGGAATCAAGAATCAAAGTAAATGGCGAGACGGTCCGGTGTGTTTCTATATGAAATGCCAGGACCTCCCGGGAGCCGAAGGGAAGGCATTCTAGGCACCAGCTGGGTGGGAGCTGGAAGGTAACTAAGATGGCCTCTGGGTGGAAATCAGAACTTGCCTAAGGACATGCTGCAGTGGCCGGGGTCATGACCCCTCACACTGAGGACACGCTTCCATAGCTGGGCTAAGTGCTGATTCAGAGTAGCTCTGAATGCAATAGATGTCAGCACGGATGAAGGGGTCTTAGAGAAAAGAGCAGCCCCACGGGGCGTACGTGGGGGGGTCCTCGGAAAAAAGTAAATGGGAAAATTTCACATGGAGAGGTAACAGCTGAGGTCTTATGTTGGCGACGCTGAGCCAATTCAATGTGAGCTGCTCCCAACTGCTCTCATTTTTATCTGCAGCCCTTCAATAAATATTATCAGTATCTCTTCAGCTTAAAGATAACCTCTGCTGGGAGGGACATTGTTAGTTAATGGCAGCATTTCAGAGTCTCCCTAAAAGCGCTACTAAATGCATCGCAAAAATATATCCTAATGTTAGATATAGGAAAACGTGAATTATTTAGTCATAAATGTGGAAGCTATCACCCTAGCGGGGCTGGAACAAGTGCCTGCCGTGTGGAGGAGGCCCGGGTACTCATTAGTGACAGACTCAAAAGAAATGGTGCGGGAAGGGCTATGCCAACACACACCCAAGCAGCCCGCCACACTGCTGACCAGACAAGCCACCCCTAAGCTACTTAAGACACAAGCATGAACATGTCCTGACAAGCCTCTCATTCCACAGTCCTCACTCCCATTGGGAGTTGCAATACGCTAATGACCAGCACTTAATTAAAATACAGCCCATCACCCTCACATCATCAAGGACACGAAGGAAAAGGAACCGTCGATGGGTTTCCGGAGCCCGTGACAGTCAGGCTTTCATTGATTCATAGTGAGAAAGAGAACACCAGCTCACTGTCTAGGCTCAGAGAATACAGAGGTAAACACAAGCCTGCCAGTTCTGCTCTTAGGGCACTCCCTATTCACGGTACAGGACAGGGACGAACAGGGACGGAAAATTCTGGGTAACGTGGCTGTCATAAGATGAACCCAAGGAATGCTGGGACCCAAAATGAAGGCTTCCCAAAAGAATGCAGTGTTGCGATTTAAACGCTGCGGCTCTTCGGCAGCAAGGAGGCAGAGGAAGGCAGTAAGGCTGGAGGCAGAGAAACGGCAGAGGCAAGGCAAAGGCTGGCCTGTGGAAATCCCCAACAGCTCAACACGGCTAGTGTACTGAGACAACACAAGTGAGGGCTGCCGTGGGTGAGGGTGGACAGAAACAGTGCCCTGGGGACTGAGCTTCTCTGGGTTTCCTACCTGTCTTATCAGCATTGGCTGCAGATGTGGTGGGGGCTACAGCTGTGATTGGAGCCACAGGTGTGATTGGGGCAACAGGTGTGATTGGGGCCACCGGTGTGATAGGAGCCACAATTGTTCCTTCCCTGTACTTAGTTACGTCCTTGATGATCTCGGTCATGTTTGGGGCAAACACACTGAGGTCTCTGACAGTCCTGAGGTTGAAATGGAACTGGGATGTGGCCATGGCCTTCAGGTTTTCCTCAGAAGCCTTCTGCACCCCCACAGAGATGATTTTCACCCCATCCTCCTGCAGGGCCTTCGAAGCCTCTTCCACATCGTCCTCAGACTCAGCTGAAGCCAGCACCACCAGGATTGGGGGGAACTGTTTCTTGTCTCTTCCGTTTGTGGGAGCAGAGAAATAGGCCCTGTGAGCCTCCTGCAGGGCGTTCCCTATCTTCAGGGACCCACCGATGAACCCAAAGTTCTTCTTCAGGTGGTTCAGCATGGGGTTCCTGCTCTTGAAGGTGCCAAGCTGGAACTCAGTGTGGAGAGAATCACTGTACTGGGCCAACGCCACCCGGTACTTGTTGGCCTCTATGGGGAGGCTGTTGATCATCTTGCTGAGAAAAGTTCTCACAAATGGGAAGGACTTACTCCCCAGGGAGTCAGAGCTGTCCACCAGAAACACCACATCTGCATACTCAGGGCCTGGTCCTGCACAGCAAGGAAACAGCCAGCAAACACACAGTTTTATTTCCAGCATCACAGTTTGCACCTCAGCATTCACTTGAGACTGTGTCCTTGTGTTAAAGCTTTACCATAATTCCAAAGAGCATTTTTTCCTGGCATTCCAGGCATTCTTTTGCCTGACATGTCAAGGGGACTTTATTAAAGTTAGCCAACATATTTTTCTTTCTCAAGTCTATTTACAGGTAACTGACTTCTTTTTATTTCTGGAGCCCAAAACTACGATGCTGTACTATGAAAATTAATGACACGGTAGTACTCCAGAAGGTCCCAATGAGGTTCAAGGACTAATAACTATTTCTGGAAACAGCATAGAATAAGCAGCTGCCCTGGGTTGGAGCACTTGGGAGCAGAGTGGAGGAGAACGGCAGGTGCGAGGAATCTTCCAAGGACCACAAAACAGGAGAACCAGACATGGGTGGGCCTGAGCCAAAGGGAAGTTACCAGTGATCACCAGGTCTCGTCTGAAAGTGGCTGAACCATAAATCGCCTCAGCCACCCCACGTAGAGGCAAAGGGGCCAGTTTTTTAACTCCCCTGTGGGTCCGCCATTGGCCATAGACCATCCCCAAGAACTGGATGAAGGAAAAAGAAAATTATGGTATGACTTCTTTGGTAAAGGAGCTCCGGGAAAGACAGAGGCTACAGTGAAACTGCCTCTTTTGGTGTCCTGGGCTCAAAAGGTTTGGGATCTTGAACCATTACATTAGGGATGTTCAGACTGGAGCTTCTCAGCATCCGTATTTCATAATGTAAAAGGAAAGGGGGCAAAGGTTTAGTCACAAAAAATAAAACACTTGGTATATTCTCTTGACTGATGATTGATGTGGGAGGGCCCAGCTCAACTACTGGCAGTGTCACCTTCGGGGGTCCTGGAGGCTTTTTAAAAAGTAGACTGGGCAGGCCATGGGAAAGCCCTCAGCAGCTCTAGACCATGTCCTCTGCTTCAGCTCCTGTGTCCAGGTTCCTGCTCTGTGTTCCTTCCCTGATTTCCCTCAGTGACGTACTGTGCTGTGGAACTGTAAGTTTAAATAAACCCTTTATCTCCAAGGTAATTGTGGCCAGTGGGGTTTTACCACGGGAATTAAAACCCTAACAAAGACACCTGGAAACTATAGACTAGTAAACGGATGGAGGGAATTAAAGTTTTACTTCTGAAATAGTTTAGTGTGCCGAGTTCTGTGAGCTTGGTGGAGCCCTTCCTCTTACAAAGGCAAAACTGCAGGAAACTGCAGGAAGAAATGCTTGCCACGGCTATCCGCTCCCTCTACAGATCCAGCTGGCAGAAGAAGGAACGTTTAACTTCCACGTTCGGCGTTTGTTCTGGTAATCACCTTTAACCATGGTGGAGATTCCCCTTGGTGACAAGGGCACTCAAAGATCACCCTCAGAGTCTCACATCATCAGGGATTTCAACACCATTATCCACCCTATAAAAGCTGGGAGGAACTGTGGGTTGTGGCTGGACTTTACAAAGCATTGGCTTGGGTCTAAGCCCATTTTTCTGGCTTTCCTCCAAGTGCTTGCTTGGTTGTCTGTTCGTCAGAATTTCTGCAACATTTCTAAAGATAAGCCTCACACTGCTCCATCTGCAAGTAGGTTTACCATATTGCCAGAGATATGAGATGCTGAGAGTTATGCAAATCAATAAATAAATATTTTCTAGCCAGGGCTACATGATTGTTTTTCCCATAGCTTTTCCCACCTTTCAAAGATGAGGTCTGTTGAATGTTCTCTGGCTACTATTAAGTGTTGAGGACTTTGATCTGTTAGCAAAGAAAGTATTCCTTTCTATTAAAGTTTGATAAAACATAGAAATATTTTTCCCCAAATAATAATGAGCAAAAAAACATACTAGTACCTGGGCTCTGATAGGCCAGTGTTTCTGTCCAGAGGATTAGGACAAGCACAAGTAGCTGGAGATTCATTCCTTTCATGGGGGGTTTCATACTTTTATCCTGAAAAAGAACCGCAATATGAATTATAAGCACTATTGAATACCAAAGATTACTCATAAGAGGGTGTGCTGACAAGAAGAACTTAACAAAAAGCAAGTGAATTTATGCAGCACCCACCAAGCATGTGGACTGTTTGCTGAAAACAAGGGTTGACGTCTAGTGAGCACAGAATGTGGCTGAGTACGGTGGCACACGCCTGTAATCGCATAATTTAGGTTGGGGGGGGAGGAAGGGGAATCCAGTGTTCAAGTTCATTTTCAGCTACAAAATTACTTCAAAGCCAGGTTCAGCTGCATGAGACCTTCATTCTATTAAGAACACATGGTATTTTATTGTGGTGTTGATTTGCATTATCCGTGTGAAAACTGGTCATATCTTTCCACATACATATTAAGCATTTACATATCTTCCCTGCGGAAACATTTGTATCATTTGCTCGCTTTTAAGCATGCTTTTATTCCCGTATAGCAGTAATTGCTTATGTATCTTGATACTAGACCCTTGGCATATGATAAATGACTTGCAAAGAGCCTCCTCTCGTTCTATGAATTGTATTTTCACCTTCTTGAGACATACTTTAAAACAGATTTTATAAAGCCCAATTTTTCTGGGTTTTATTTTGTTGTTTAAGCTTTTAAGGTTTTTATTTTATGTGTATAGGTGCTTTGTCTGTATACATTTCTGTGCACCGCAGTACCCTCAGAGAACAGAAAAGCGTTCTGCGTTCCCCAGAACTGGAGTTATGGATGGCTGTGAGCTGCCATGTGGGTACTATGACTTGAACCCTGATCATCTGGAGAAGCTACTGAGCCATCTCTCCAGCCTCACTGCTTATGCATTTAGCATAGTAACCAACACATTATCATCTACTCCTCTGTGATGAAGAATTATTCCAGACGCTTCCTTCTAAGTAAATTAGAGTTTTGCCCCTTGGTACTGTGACACGTAGAAGGCTTCCCTCTGGGGGTTTGGTGCTTGCCCTGTTCCCTGGAGGTGTGCACTAATAGGTCTTCAATGCCAGAAGAGTAAGCTGAACTGGAAACAGAGGGGAGACAGCAGTGGAATTAATTGGCAGCCAAGCAATGGTGGCAGCAAAGGCAGCAGCAGTGAAGGGGACAGCAGCTTCAGTGAAGGACACAGCAGCTTCAGTAACGACAGCAGCTGTGAAGCTCCGAAGAGTGCTGGGGAGCTGGAGGGGGGGCAAAGACAGAGACAGGGACAGAGGTACAATGCCAGAGAGGCAATCAGGAGTGGGGGAGAGAGAGAGAGAGGGTGAAGAGCTTAGGCTGAAGAAAGACCTTGAAAAGAGAAAGGGCGCATGGCTGGAAAAGTCCCAGAGAGCTGTTTGGGTACCTATCTGGCTTCTAAAGTGTGGAGCTATAGGTCTCTAGCTTTCAGAGTCTGGAGTTAAGAGTTTCTGAGTCACCAAGATAGCCTAGGCACTCAAATCACTGTAAAGAGCCCAGCCGATCAGCTGTAAGGGATCTCAGTACTTACAGGTGGCTTAATCACATACATTTCCAAGACCTTTCCCACCACTCAATAAAATTCTATGATTCTTTAATGCTATGTTGATAAGAATTCAGTGGTGTAAACAAATTATATTTTAGAGATTTTAATCTCTTTCTGGAGTTGATACAGCCTAAACCAGACTGGGGGCTCAAAGAAATGCCAGGTCTGACTAACTTCCAAGAGAACCAACTCGCTCCTCACACTTCCCAACTCCAAAAGGCTGAGAGCAATTCAAAGTAGCATGAACTCTGGGAGGAGGGAACCCCAAGCCACTTGAGGAGGAATAATTAAACCACACATCTAGAGGGACCAATCCACACAGTTGATACCAGGCAGCATCACTCATTCTCATTGGTAACTATACTTCCTAGTGTTACCAGGGAAACCAAGGTTTCCTTTTGGGTTCTCCATCTAATTGATAAAGAAATTAAAACCCCACTCAGATGGAATCTTGAGGAAAGTTTTATTGGGGTCCAGGAGAAAAATAACAGGACAGACAAACCCTAAATCTTAGCAGCTTCCTGGAGGCTAAGATGGAGAATGGAAAGAGTGAAAAGGAATAGCAAAAGGGCAAGAAAGCCCAGAGCATCCCAGAAAGCATGCTGAGGCTTCTGGCCAGCATTTGAAAAAGATACCAAGAAAGGAAAAAGAAAAACATGCAGAGAGACGGGCCGAGGGTCTGGGCTCAGAGGTCACTGGAGTCTAGGAACTTGTGTTCCAGGAATCTCTCGAACCAAGAACATAAGGTTAGAAACAGAGGTGAGTGATTCAGAAAGGAAAAACACTCCCAAGAATGGAAGTGGGCTAGTGGGATGAGGAAGGAGCCCAGAAAGCACTGGATCACAAGGCAGACAGTACTTTATAGGACCTTTATACAGTACTTGTCTCTCTAATTTGTATTTAGAGGGATGTTGGTGTATGTTCTTGTGGAATGTACACAATTTATCATTGTTCATTTAAATGCTGATTTCTTTATTTTTTGGTTTCAGTCCAGACATTGCATTGTGATGCTTATTCTAAGCATCACCTGTCTCAAGTTCGTGTAAACATGCCATCATTTGTTCTCTCTATTGTCAATTACATGACTAGTCAATATTGTACAATGGAGAGAATAGGATGGGACATCCTGGTCTGGAGGGGAGGAGAAGGAAGTGAGGGGGAATAGAAGAAAGAGATTGTCAGGACAAAACTTCAAACCTTGAGGAGAGATGAACCAAACCTAAGATATGACTAAAAGCAAGTATAATCGATAAAATCTGAATGGTAGGAAACAATGCAGGCTTGGAGGTTTAGGATGGAGTAACTATTGCCCAGCATTGTGCTCTAGGTTAATTAAATAAACCTAGTTTATTTAGTAGTTTGTTTAGTAATTCGGGTATACAGCTGGTTTAGTAATAATGGCTGCTTCACTAAAAGATAAATCAATAGTAAATATTAATAACTCACAACAGAGGGCTTTTCACAAGCATTCTCTCTTCATTAGATGAAGCTCAGATAGGGATGGGCTTCCAGGCCCAGTCTCCAAACTGATGGAGCATGCTCTGTTTGACTCACGAAGCCCAGGTGGGGAAGGGTCTCCAACCAGTTCCCTGCCAATTGGCTTCCCTCATATGTTAATCCTGGCTGTTTCTTCTCCAGCCCCTATTCTCTTGTCATGCTATGAGATGGTCGATTTTATAACATGCAGTTCGGATCCCGAGGTGATTTCATGAATTGAGAAAAGAGGATCTTAACAAAGTTGTCTGTGTGTGTGTGTGTGTGTGTGTGTGTGTTTAAGTGTATGGTAAGGCTTGTGATATTCTGATAAAGTCCGACACTGAAAGAAACCAGAAATTATTTAATAAGTTATAACACAACAAAGTCATTGGTGTCTTGAGTCCTCTGGGTTGCCACTGCTCATGTAAACAGTTTATTGGAAGTTTATACAGCCTAATCCTAACTCTAAAAAATAGCTTATTACATATCGTTCTAGAACTACCACATTTAATTTTGTTTCTTTCCTCTCCTTTTGCAGCTAAAGGGACAAGAAGAAATAAATGAGAGTAGAAAATAAAAGCCAGGCTGTCCCTTCCCTCCTCCACTGAGTCTCCTTTCTCTCAGTACCTGCCCTCCTCTCTTCCTGGTTCATCATCCATCACTCAGGATAAATGTCGCACATGCTGACCAGGGTCAGGCCTGGACCAGAATGAGGAGCTCAAGCAAAAGGGCAAAGGTCACAACTTTAAAAACCACACACTCCAGCTGGTGTAGGCCCCAGACCACACATGCTTGCCTATCCAGAAAGCTGGAGATCTGAGCTCTGTTGGAGTTGAATGGTAAATCCAAGGTCACACAGCCTCTGGTGCTTTGGCCCCATTCTGAGAGCATCTGGAATGCATGTTTGGTTTTCCCATCAATAGGAACAGTGAGGGGCCCAGCCTCATTGTCCCGTCATATTGTAGTTGCTACATGGCTGGCTTTCACGGTTTTCTCCCTTGGCTCCATTCCTCAGAAAATGTGTAAGCTCCTGCACATCCCATGTCCATGAACACACCCAATGCCCACCCAAACTCCTTGGACAGCCAAGTGCGCCCTTCTTTCAGACGCTTAGCACCCTTTGCCACATCCGTGGCCCTTGGCAAGCTTTCCTTAACCCATCACTTCTTCCCACCTTGAACAGGTGCCGGCTGGGTGCCTCACGTCTCACCACTAAAAGTCCCAGCTATCTAGTGTCTACTCAAAAACAGGTCCTTGGGAAGAAGTTGTTGAATTGGGTTTCTTGGGAAACGATAATCGGCTCCTTCCACCCAGCTGTTGCCACTCAGTGGCCCCATCAAACCTCCCACTGCAGCAACTCCAGCCACTTCCTGGACAAAAGGCCATGTTCTGAGTGTCTTAAGGCTGACAAAGTAATGCTCTGTGCACAAGAAGCAAACTCTACAGTTTAAGCATCCTATACCAAGCCCATACGTGCTGTTAATCTTTGGTGTCAACTTGACTAGATCAGAATCACCTAAAGAACACATCTCTGGACTTTGAGGGTGTTTCTGGGATGTTTAAATGAGATGGATAGACCACCTGAAGGCAGGTGGCACTACTCCACGGGCTGGGGTTCCAGGACAAATAAGAGGGGAGAAACTAAGGAACTAGAGGGACAGCTCAGTTGCTAAAGTGATAGCTTTGCAAGCACGAGGACCTAAGTTTGATTCCCAGCATCCATGTAAAAAGCCAAGCGTGCACTTGTAATCCCAGCACTGAGGAGGCAGAGACAGAAAGACTGGCCAACAAGCCTAGCCTCATTGATAAGCTCCAGGCCAACGAGAGAGCCTGTCTAAAAGGAAATGTGCGATGCTGCTAAAGATAACACCTCCAGCCTCCACAAGCATGTACATGGACGTGCGCGCACGCACGCACACACACACACACACACACACACACTTAAAAATAAAACAATGAAGCAGATTGTGATGGCGTAGACT